TGCACTGCCTCCTGAGCTCTCCCGGGTTCATAATGTGTTTCATGTATCTATGCTACGTAAGTACAATCCGGACCCTTCTCATGTCTTGGCTCACGAACCGCTTCCACTCCGAGAGAACTTGTCTTATGAAGAAGTACCGGTCAGTATCACGGACCGAGAAAGCAGAATACTCCGCAACCGGAAAATATCATTTGTGAAAGTCATGTGGCAGAACCACACGCCCAGGGAGGCGACTTGGGAACTGGAATCAGAATTTAGGGCCCAATATCCCCATCTGTTTGATCAAGAGTAATGAGGCAAATTTGGGGACCAAATTTCTTTATGGGGGGGAGAGTTGTAGCGCCCGGACCGAGGAAAAAAAAAAAAAAAGCCACATCGGCAGCCACGTCAGCAGGCCCGGTCAGCAGTCCCAGCCAACCGGGGCCTGCCATGTGGCAAGACCACGTCGCTCCTGAACGGGCCACGTTGGCGATCCGCGTGGGCGCGATCGGACGGCCCAGATACAATCGCACGGACGGCCCAGATTTAATAAAAAACGGACGGCCCAGATTAAAACAAAATAGACGGCTGAGATCAAAGGGCAAGGGGTTATAAATAGAACCCCCACACCAGACCACAAACCCTAGCCGCCTGCCGCTCGCCGGAGAAGACGAACCAGAGGCCGACCGCCGCCACCCGCCGCCGCACCGGGGAAATTTCTGACCGCCGATCGAGGTAAATTTCATACCCCCGACTCGTTTTTCCACGCTGATTCCTCCTATGGCCAAATCGAAGCTAAAATCCCGGCCAAACGGCCGGAATACGCGGCCGAAGACCAGCGGCGCCGCCGCGCCCCCTCTCGGTTTTTGCCTCCGACGAGGCCCTTCCCGGCCTCCGTTTGATGCAATTTTTATATCACCGTGATCACCATTCTTTTCTCTACAGGTTGACCGGAGCCGAATCACCAAAACACGAACCTCGCCGGAGAGCCGCCGCACCCGAGAGCGCCGCCGCCGGTAAGCTCCGTTTTTCCGTGATTTTTTTGGCCCCCTGAGGGCCCTAGGGTTGTTTTCTCACAGGGACCGATGCGAGTGTGGCCGAATTTGGCCGAAAACGGCCGAAAACAGCCAACCCGAGGTGACTCGCCGCCGCCAGCGGCGGCGCCGTCGCCGGAGCACGACGGAGCCGCCGTGCCGGAGTTGCAATTTTGGCCGAAAGAGGCCCTGGGCCTAATTTGGATTTTTTTTTGGAACACGTGCAGGTACCGTTAGTGTGTTTCAGTTCCCCGGGAAAAATTCAGGGAAAATTAGGGACGGCCTGTAGGCGCACTGTGAATCGTATTTGGATCCCGAAAACAAGTAAGGACTCCTCACCCTATTTCCTATCACGGTATTAAAGTTCAAAATGATAAAACGATATTTCTTGAATTAACGCATGTGTGAAATTGCTTAAGGTTGCTAATGGAGCCCGAGTCTAGTGTGATTTATGATTTACTGTTATTTGGCCTGTTTTACAGCTTTAAATGCATTATGAGGTTTGATGTGTTCATTTTATAGTTTCGAGTGCATATATTACTGTTTTATTTATTTATGGGTTAAAAGACTGAAGAACTGATACTGTATGTTGTCTGTTTGGCATGAATTACGATTTACTTTCTTAAATGTGAATTGACGATGCTTATTGAGGAAAAGGAAAATGAAAGATTGTGTAGACTGATAATTGTATGATGGGGTTAGCCTGACTAGATATCCTGGGAGATGGTGGACGGACCGGGTCCGTAGGGAACCCTACCGGAATTGTGGTCTCACATGCCGGACGGGGTATGGAGATCTTATGGTTTTGGCGCCCATACCGGACGGGGTATGGGGACGGCCCGTTTCACCCTCATACCGGACGAGGTATTGAGGTTTATGGTTTTGGCGCCCATACCGGACGGGGTATGGGGACGACCCGTTTCACCCTCATACCGGACGGGGTATTGAGGTTTATGGTTTTGGCGCCCATACCGGACGGGGTATGGGGACGACCCTGGAAACTGATTATGAATGTTAAAGGTTAACGGGTAGCGGGACCCCTATGGACCCCCATGGATACTAGTAGGCTGGTAAATGAGAAAAGTATATGTTGTATAATGATTGAATTACAAAAGGCGTGATAAGTGCTATGTTTTACAGCTTATATTATTCCATGTTTGTGATAATGTTATTGTTTTCTTATATTGCTTCATGAATTCCACCGAGCTAAGTGGATGGTAAAGGTTTTATCATAAATAAAAAGGATTTGTTGTAAATCATGCTCCATTGGTCTTTTGTGTTTTTCTACCCACCTTTACCTCCGTGACGGTGAGATATCGTGATGTTCTTACTGGGCTAGTGTAGCTCACTCCTTATTTAACCATTTCAGATCAGGAAGACATGGTTCCCGAGCCCGTTCCGCAGGAGGACGACGAAGGGGATGCCTAGAGACTCTGTAGTCATACTCATAGTTTTATTTTCGAGTTTCTCTCTTAGTTAGTTTAATCTTTTATACTTTAAGTACGTTTTTGGTTTTCGTGTAAGGGATGTTAACTGAAATTTTGATCTCGCTTCCGCATTTAATATTTATAATATAATTTCCATTTTTTGAATTACCGGGGCTGCTATAAAAAAAATTGAACAATACTAATGGTGAAAGTCCTGTGGTAGCACCACTCACAGTAAAAATCGATTTAGGAGCGGGAAGACCTGATGAAAACAAACTATCCTTAGTTGTTCGAGATTATGTAATCAAATTTGGGGAACCAAATTTTTTAGGGGGGAGATTATAACGTTTTGGAAATTCCAAGTATATGATTTAAGTAAATACAAATATGTGTTAAACCAAACTCAGTTGTGTATTCTATATACAAGTAAAATAAACTTAATTTAAATAAGTGGAATAGAGTAGGATTAACAAAAAAAAGAAAAAAATCAATGAATGAACCATAAGGAAGGACTTAAACGAAAAATTAATCAAATAGGGGTAGAATTGTAAACCTTGAAAAGCTAACATGTCAACAAGTCACTGTGGGGGAAACCAATAAGGAGTCGCCACACGTGTTGAGTGACATTAGAGTGCATCATTAGAGAGAGGAAGGGTTTAGATGAAGCCAAGTAATGTTGACCAGGAACCTCGAAAAACACCTTGAAAAGAACGACGAGGATGGTGCAAATATTTTAAACGACTATGATTGTTTTTACTCCAATATAAAAAAAGGGGGCTGTGGTATAGAGGGGGAGAGAAGAGGAAACAAGATTTGAAAATAGCTAGGCTGATTGAGAGAAGAATGAGAGGAAGAGTACGAAGAAGAAGGGAACTGGTGGTGCTACATTACGGCGCCACTAAGAAGATTTGAGAGAGGTCGACACTGCAAGTGAACATTCACGCGGAGA